TTCTACTCAGTTATATGCGAGTTATAATTCATTTTCATCACGAAATCGATCAATTTCGTTGTCGAGACAATCAGTTCACGTAGAACCACGGATGGCGCTGAACTATCTAAGTAAACATTTTGCTTTTCATGAGTTACTCAGGTCGCTTTTCTACCACCGCACATATTTCGATACACAACAAGCGTGTCCTTCTATCGAGTTTTGATGTCGTTTTTTTACAAGTGATTAAATATTTTTGGGAGAGCTTTTACCCATGTATAGCAATCGATAGGCTCTATATATTCCAGTCAAATTGTTTGACTTCAATTTGTTTCAGATCATTTTTGAACGAAACATTGGCTTCTATACACAAGAATTATGTTGTACAATAGAGTATCGCGATATTTTTATGAATAGGCTACCTTTTTTCGCTAGAGCGTTTGCTCACGTACAGCTATTGATGTGCTCAAAATATCGCGGCAAAAATACAGATTTTTATAAACAACCAGATTGTTCTTCGACAAAATTTCTTCGTGGTTCTCCGAACTCGTTACTTTAGTCCGATAAAGCTCCAGTTCGGATATAGTTATCAATGGGCCTGAAGTATCTCGGCATACATATATTCTGCTAGATATTATAGAAACATTATTTTTGCAGCAAAATATAGATTTCAAGATACAACAAGAGTCTCCTTCAACAGAATTTTGCGGTGGTTTTTTAACCGACTGCATATTGTCAACAAAGATTCGGCACATACAAACCAATCGAGTGGCCTTAGATATCTCGGCATATGTATCTGAACTCATATATTTCTGACATTAACTTTTTTGAAAGGAACATAATTCTCTGTACACAACAAGTGTCTTTCAAGCAAGTTTCTCGGTGGTTTCTAGAAATGGCTACATATTTGCAGGACAGTTTCAGTTCGAACAGAGTTCTTGTTACAACTGAAATATGTTTGCAAATATATTCGCATTAATATATTTTTAAGCGCAAATTTTTCAGAAAAAATAGACTTCTCCACACACGAAGAGCGTCCTTCAAAAGATGTTCACGGTATTTTTTGAATTGAGTACATTTATCCACCGAGTGTTCAGCTCGCGTGAAGCAATGGATGGGCCCGAAATATTTTGGCATATATATTCGAGCTAATTTTTTTCTAAGATCACTTTTTCATAAAAACATTGATTTCCTTACACAATATGAGTGTCCTTTAACAGCGTTTCGGATCAGTTTCCGGACCAGCTACATATTTAGCCTAATACTTCTGCTAGCGTATAGCTATCGATATGGCAAAACTATGTCGTAATACAGATTCGAGTTAATATATTTCTAGGAGCCTTTTTTCATGAAAACATTGATTTCTGTAAAAAACAAGAGTCTTCTTCAACAGAGTTTCATCATGATTTCTAGAACTGGCCAAAGGTTTCTGAGAAAGCTTCAGCTCGCGTACAGCTATCGACGGGCCCGGCATAGGTGGCCATATTTAATCCAATTCATATTTCTCTAAGATCAGTTTTCTCGAAAAACATCGATTTCTATACAAAACAACAATGTCCTTCAACAAAGTTCCCGGAAGGTTGGTGGAATTGCCGGTATATCTCAAGCACAGTTTTATACTATGCGCATATATGGATCATGTTGAAATATGAGGAGAGATATAGTACGCGCGGGATTTGTCGTCGATCACTCTGTTAGAATCTGATGACGTTTTTTCATCGGGAAGGTGTCACTGAGCAGTGTGTGTGGTGTGGGTGTTGGTGTGGGGTATGGATGTGAGTATTCTAATCGTTTTATACCTCACCCACATCCACCTACATCCACCCACACCCTCAAGATTTTTAGAAACCGTTCACAACGTTGTAAGGAAACTACTTACGTGAACAAATAAAGTTTCAACGGACTAAAACAAGAATTAATACATAGGATCTTGTAAAAAAAAGTTTTTAATACTTTGACTCTTCCAGTACTAGCTAAAAATCATTCGTCCCATTCCATCGCATTCAAAGCCCTGGAGTGTATTATAACATATTGGGTAGTTATTTTGAAAGGTTGCAAAAATCTATATGTGTTGAAAGTATGGATGATATGTCAACAGATAAGCATCGGAGAACATTGCAAATTGTGTCTATCTTATATTCAGCATTTACTATTCTGACACAAGGCCTGTTAGGTCGGATTCTATTGTAATTTGTTAGGCAGCTTTTTTCATGGCGAAGAAAAACTTCTATGTATAGAATCAGAAAAGTAAAGTTATTGTTAATGAACAAAGGATTGATTTGATGCGTTGTATCGTTTTCCGAGAAATATTTTTTTCGCACATTCACATCTGAGAGATTGTATATTACAGGCTTAATGGGTATAATGGGCATAATTGGCGTGATGACTGCGAAAGCTGTGCTTGCTATCGTATGCGATACCTTCTTCTAAAGTCAAATCCACATTCTCACCATTCCTATTTACACCTTCTCCCGCACCCACACTGAGCTCATCCGCCTCCCCGGTCACACCTTCCCCCAAACTCGCACCCACCACACCCATACCCCTTATTCCAATGGTGGCTGCTTGAACTGTTCAGTCTCTCAGACCAGCAAATTCAATTTCCGGAAATTCATTTGATATTTAAGATTCATATGATTTCTCGGAAAACGCTATAACGCATCATATGAAAGGCTTTGTTGTTTTTGTGAATCTCTAAGATCGAATAAGCTTTACAAGCTTGTGCTCAGTTGTTTGTCGGGCAAGCTACTATAAATATATAGCAGCATTCAAGGAAATATCTTCTAACAGCTCCTGTATCGTTTGTAATTAAATAGATGAGATAAAAATTTGCAAAAACTCATACTTTCAAAGTCAATCGTTGGTGTAAAACGATTGGTGAAATTAGCTCTATCAAACAGTCTACAGCCCCATATAATTCACGTACCATTCGAACGAAGTAGCCTATCGAAAAAGGAAAGAATCCCTGAAGTCGGAAGAAAAACGTCCTCTGTCAAAAAGTACCTGTTCAGCTAAATATTTCTCGATCTAGCATTCTTTGAATATTGGAGTGTGATCTGCTTCTTTGGCCATACAAGAAAATACTAGAACTACTGCTAACCGGCGAACACAAAAAGAGAGAAAAAGAAAATTTTTGTATTGAACACGAACATGTTTGCGAAAAGAGGAGACGATGAAGATTCTGTTTTTCGGACGGGAAACTGTTCGATATAGATGGAATCTACAACTCACAAAATGATCATATATGATCAGTCAGCAATGCCAAACTTGATAAAAATGGTAATGTAAAGTAAAAACGAAAATTTCCTTAGAACGTGATAGTTTCGTGAGTTCTATTTTATTAGGGACTGCCACTAATCGTCATTTTTTTATGAAGGAATGTTTGCTCATGCCTGATACATTGAAGAAGTACTTCTTATGAGTTCCAAATTGAAGATTGATATTCTGAAATTTATTAAAAATTTGAGTAAGCTGTCAGAAAGCCTCATGTCCATCATCTAATGCAACCATGGTGCAAAAACGACTTTTCGTCTGTTATAGAACAGAATTGTTTGTCTCCAAACAATCTAGATCTAAATCTTTTACACTATTCAATATCAGATGAACTTATTCATACTGCTAATTGCAAGAAAATCATGTCGACAACTGCTCTCATTAGTGAGTTGAAGCGAGCAGTTGGAAAAATTCATCAATAACTTGCAACTAAATGCTGTGTGTCTTCGACTAATCCATCGTACTGCATGTCTCAAAATGAAGCAGACTTTTTTCAATAATAAAAACAACGCGTTTTGCAGAACTTTGACGAGAGAAAATTTTGAAGAAAAAAGACTAAGATATCGGCAATATAAAAAAAACGTCACATGCTTTATGATATACTCGTTACAAGTTTTTCTGTTTGTGGAAAAGGTTATCCCAAAAAGTAGTAACAGAAATTAATTTAAAAGAGCTCTGATGAGAAGACTGCATCAAATATATTTCGCTGTAAGTCAAAAAGACTCAGTTTCATAATATTTTCTTGCTTTTTCTATTTACTCACCATCTGTAACTTGAAAACATATATGACTTTCAAGCGCTTGATGGTGGGTGTGGGTGGGTGCAGATACGACTGAGGATAAAAAAACTTTAAAACGCCCACACCCTCAAGAATTTCAGTCCGTTTTAAACAATTAAGTGTTTACAAAATGTAGTATCATGATAAATAGTATTGTTCGTATATGGACACGACCAGCTAACGGTCCCCTTCCCTGGTAAAGGTTTAAAATCAGTAATAATCAGAAAAAAACATTTTAACAGAGAGTATGATCTTGAAATATTATTAAGTTTGTTCTGTATACTGAGTTACTCAGCTGACATATAAAAGCAATATTATTTGTCTTTCTTACAAATTTAAAAATGTGTATAATTACGAAATTTCGCTTTTCTCTCGTTTTATCAATTTTCATTTTTGTCAACATAATGAATAAAATTTTCTATGAAATTTTGAAAAAAAGATGAAAATAAAATAATCGATTTATAGAAAACAATATTCTTATTCGTTACAGAACGAAAAAAGTTAGATTTCATAGTTGAAATTATCAGAAAAGTAGCAGTAAACTGTTCCTCGTGAAAAAAGAGAAAATTGGTGAAATTCCCTTACGCTCAGTTTTTTAAGTCGTCTTATTTAAAGGAAATGTATTACAGAAAAAACGACATGATATCCTGAGAGCTTGCGAAAAGCTGAACAATCTATGTATAAAACGTTCGTTTATGAGTTAGTCAGTTTCGAAGAAAAATGTTAAAACCTAGATTCTCTCTCAAACTTTTGTTCATTTTTGAAATTCCGTAACGAACAATGTTTTTCATATAACTCCGTTATGACTCGCCATAAGTCAGTAAAATTTTTAGTGTTAGTACAACTAGTTAATCTTCCTATATGGTAAAAATTTTAGAAATATCTTTCCTATTATTGAGGAGATTTATGCCTCACAAGTTGAAAAAATGAAATTCCGCAACGCTTAGCCGTGCTCATATAGTAATTGTGACTATCCACTAAACTGAAGCTTGAAACCTAATATTCTTCTTTTCAAAATATCAGAATCAGATAATCCAGGTTCGCCATACGTTAATGGAGAAAAATATATATAAGTTCCTGCGAATGTAATGACGATTGACATTGAAATTAACCATGCTTGTTTTATTCTATGATTGTAGACACTATTCGTTCTATCATTGTTATATCTGTTACTGCACGGTTTCTTAACATTATATGTAGCTTGTTTCAATGCACATTCGCAATACGTGAGTCCCAATAGAAAATCAAAAATTGTTCCGGTAAATAGTGCCAGACATAAATGAGCTGGAAGATAATGATGTAAAAATAATTGTCTTTTCATGATAAAGAACGGTAAATAATGTATAGTCCATGCAAACCCGAAAAAGCCTGACGATGTATATAGTCGATATCGAACACTATCACTGAACAAAGAAGATTTGCGCTTTAATAAAATTCGGTCTGCAATTAAAAGTGATACAAAAACTATCAAAAAAAAACATTCAAGCCACCATCCTAAAACATTTCCATGAAAATAAATTTGCTTTTTGTCAGACTTTTTGCTCCAGCATGCAATACCATCAATCCCTAATGGCCATGTGATTGGATGTGATCCATAAGGATGCTTTTCAGTTAAAGCATTATTATGAGAAAACATCCTCATTTGCAAATGTATCCACTTTTTGAAAAAGTTCATTCGTTTTGTCACATTTACTGTTATATTAAGACGTGAAGAGTCATTCATATCCATAATTGTGTTAAACATCCAGTTATTACTTCTGTCAGCTATGTCAGTATTACCATTAATCTCTTGCTGACCAAAACCCCATTCAGGAAGACACACATCATTATGCGTCCACATTGCAACATTGGCAAATGTGTGTATAACATGTAATATTCCCAATTTCGTATATACGATATCTTCTGCTTTGTTGTGCGTTGGTCTCAACTGAAACAGAGTGTATGGATGTCGCTCTATCGCCTGATCTAACGGTACAGTAGTAAACTCTGGATTTGTTATATATAATGGCGAGGCGACATCGTGTGATAGTAAAATGGTCTGAGTAGATACGTGAAGAAATCGCACTGTATCATTATATTTAACTGGATATCCTAATCTTTGTTTATTTTCATCTTTCTCAGGCAACACAATCCAGATATTATTTTGATCTTCAAATGACACTGCAGTAACTTGCTGACCATTCGACGAAACTCGTCCGTTTTCATACTTCACAGGATACCGCTCTGGATGAGAATGTAGAAACGCATTTGTGTCGATGTGTTTGAGAGTAATTTTATCATAGTAGTGTACTGCAAGACCCTGTCTCGCAAGAGGACTATTCTGAAGAGTATCTCGAAATTCTGTTGTCATAAAAGCATCACCAGGACCAGGGTTTTTTAAGATCTCGAAATGAACGTAAAACCAAAATAGATAAATAAAAAATGGTATTATAATTAAACAGAAGAGACGATAAATAATATGTTGAATAAAAATGAATATACTCAGTCCACGTTCGATGCCCAACAAACTCCATAAATTAATAATCACAGCAACGCCAATAGTCATAAATGTGAATACACCAATATACTTTATAGAAATCGTGCTTGATAAACCGACGCCAATGAGAATCAACCATTTCCACCACGAATATGAAAAAGGCGAGTGCCTCTGTTTATAGAACATAATATATGAATAAATTGTGCACACTGTTGCAAAAATGAGCATTGCATCAAGTAGTATCAAACGTGAAAAACTTATATGTGCATTGTCAAATAAAACGATTGACGTAGACAAAATTGACGCTGGAAGACTATATCCTGCTTCTTTCATAGTGAGAAAAATAATCGGCAATGTGCAACTGGATAGAAACGCTGGAAGTGAACGATATGCTACATAGGGAACTTTGTATTTATTATATGAAATACCAATGTCATCGAACATAAACGATCCATCAAAACCAACAAGCCAACCAATAAAAGCAAATAATAATTTACCAAACGGTGGATGTACATCAAAAAAATATTGTTGTCGAAGATAATAAGATGCAAACTTTCCAAAATGAACTTCATCGAACACTACTTCATTTGGATGTGATAATTTCCAAAATCTTGTGGCAAAAGCCAGACAAGTAATCACAATCAATGCTATATCGAATTGATTGCCGTATCTCTCTCCTGGGGATTTATAATTCAACTTTGCAGTTTTACTCGTTTTATTAGCATCTTTTTTGTTAAAAGCAAATAAGTGGAGTTGATCATTTGGAGATGACATACCAATGCTCAAAAGCTAACTAAATTATAAAATGCAAAGTAAATAAAAAGTAGATAAATGAGTGATGTCTTCAAAATAATCCAAAAGCATTGTACGATTTTCTCAAGCTAGTATTGAATCAACGTTTGGCATTAGAGTTCCTCCATCATAGTCTTTCGTTCCTTCAAGAGTGTGATGAATTCTGGGTAATATAGCGTTAAATAGAGATAACTAGAAATATATAAACAATCTTCGTTCTATTTTGAGACTACAAAAGTTGTGTCAATGGCTTAATTTTTTTCTATATATATTTGACAAGAATTCGAATTATCAACAGTTTTTCAGTCTATATACCGATTTTCTGAATGCATATGTACTTAATTTTGCTAAAAATGTTCTCTCATGTCAGTTGCATAAAAGAGAATACGAGATTAACTTTCAAAAAGTTCACGAGAGCTCGTACATTTTATTTTCTTCTTTTGTATGTAACAATGTGTAATTTTTCGCAAACTAGCGACAATTCTCTAAGACTATTCACTATTATTTAAACTCTCTCAACACACCGTATGCTCAATTTTGTTATTTTTGTCAAGTTTTATAGTGGAAAAATAATTAGAACTTTTGTGTAGGATATCTTACAATGGAAGGCTTTAAGTTGTTGAACACGGATCGACCTCATAATTTGACCATAGTTAGTGCTCAGTGAGAGTAGTAAAAAGTAAAAAGAATATCTATCCATACTTTGATTCTCCGAAGGTATGACCATTTGATTGAGTTTTCGACCATAGGCTAGCTATCTGTTAAACAATCGTGCTATACAGTTCTGAGCTGAAATTTTGCACATAAGTACGTCTCACTGTAATTAGATTACGGTAAGAATTTCAACTGAAACACATGATTCTTTCTCGCGATATCAAATGATCAAGCAACTATGAGATCTGACAGGCTTATATGAAAACACTACCTTTCTTTATCTCTGAATATCTCGCGAAAATATGATGTGTTTTAATTGAAATTTTTACTGTGATCTAGCTACGGTGAGACGTACTTATGTGCAAAATTTCAGCTCAGAACTGTATAGCACGATTGTTTAACAGATAGCCAGCCTATGGTCGAAAACTCAATAAAATGGACATAACTTCGGAAAGACAAAGTATGGATAGATATTCTTTTTACTTTTTACTATTCTCACTGAGTACTTACTATGGCCAAAAATATGAGACCGATCCGCACTCAACAGTTGAAAATTCTACATTGTTAGATACGGATTCGCATGCATGTGCATTTCAATCCTGATCTCATTGGCTTCAAGTAAAACTTAATGTGATTTATCGATTCCAAAAACAAATTTAAGAAAAAAGCCCTTAATCCGTAAAAATCCAAAATACTCCAAAAATAGTGAAAACTCTTGTCAGCATCCGCCTCTTTAACATCCAACATTGTTCCGCGGTTAGTGGCATATCGGGCTCCACGAGCGCTATCGACCCCAATCATGAAATATCTCCTTAGCTACCCCTTTTATCCTCAGAATCGTCTAAAATCCCACAAAATCACATGTTTCCTTGTACAAATTTGCATTAATAACGATTCCATGTAAAACTGAGGGTGTGGGTATGGGTGTGGGTGTGGATGTTTTTTCTTCTCTGACACCCTCACCCACATCCGCACCCACACTTTCAAACTTTGACAGAAACACATTATATCCACCTCTCGAAGCATTAACTAATGCGTTCTCAAACCGCTTTTTGAACTTCTTGCCAGTTTCGGTCCAATACGTCAATGACACCATATTCGCGAGAATTAATAATGCTTCCATTCAAGTATAACAAGTATTGGGCTGTTATGTTGGGTGAAACATGATTGTGGAAATCATCTTCAACAAGAGGAGGTAGGTATAAAACATTATCAGTGATAGATCTCATACACCACACACCATCTTCAATAAATCCAAGTGATCTTAGGTAGGGAGCTGAGTTGGCATAACGACGATATATACGCCAGGGATTTTCATATTTCTTCAACGGTTGATGTATTTTTTCACTTGGAAAACTAATCAACGGATACGTTTTTATTAAGTTGGCATGCAAAAACAAAATTTCTCCTACAGGATCGTGTTGAACCATAGTATGACCGCAGAATTTTATCGTCTTCGTTGAGTTGAATTTGTCGATTGATTTTACATAATCATATCCTGCCTGAGCCACAAATTTTCTAACGAAATAGAAAGGACTACTAAGAACTTTCCATGAAAATCTGAACGCATCTTTATCTCCATGAGCAACTTTGAGGAATATCTCATCAGACATAAAATACAATGCCAAATTAACAGCTCTCCATGATAAACGTTTATTGATTAATATTTGTCCAGCCTCCTGTTCGTAGTCTTCGGCTCTACACGGAATGCCCAAAATTTTCCATATTGCATTTTTTTTGGGTGCTGTCCAAAAATCTGGCCAGAATATTGCTGTTGAGTGAGTATAATGGGAAAGATCAAAAAGATATTCGGGATCACGTACTGCTATGTTATCCGAATCTAGCCATAAAACATGTTCGAAGCTTGATTGTATAATAGCACCCACTTTAATCGCAAATGGACTGTGTTTTGTACTTGCCACAGTTACATTATGTATTAATACACGAACAGTAACGTTGGAGATTATCTGAAATTCTCGGATTTCCTGTTCCTTCAGCTCACCAGGATACATAAAAACTTCCACCGGTAGTCGACATTTCAGCCATCGCAGTAACTTAATAGAAGCGATTAAACGACTACACCTATGGAAACCAGAAGATGCCGATGAAACTATCCCTCTGCCAACGTATCTATTTAAAGGATAGTCTGGGATTCTTGAAACATAGTTTCGCCATTTTATCTTTGTACGGTTAATCTCAGATTCCGTGAGCATTATAGTATTCTTCACAAAATCCATCCCATGAAACAGAACAGGTTTCGAACAAGGTGTATAAGTTTTCTGCTCGGTTGCTTGTAGTAGACTTAGCTCGTCTATTAGGTGGCTTATATTACGACGATATGAAAGAATTTTAGAATGATTGTTATCAGCAGAACCATGATAATACACAATGAAAGATACAAAAAAGACACATGCCCAACAGATGCGACGCTTAATTAGTTTGACCATCTAACAGATCGAAAGCTAGTCGAATGTTATATTGTCTTCGAAATGAAAAACCATATTGAGAGTGTGGGTGTGGGCGTGGGTCTACTGTAACGGTGATCTCCACACCCACCTATAGGCAAACCTACACTCACACCTTTGTCGAACGACGCATTGATTTATGCCATTCTTGAAGTATTTCAGTACATGCATCATAAAGTTTTTTATCATCAAAATCTAACAATCGGAAGCATAAGCCGACGATATATTTGTAAGCTGCTTTAGATCCTTGACCAACTACACATTCACAATATCCAGTTATAACATCTGCCAGACGATTGCTATTTATCATTAGCTTCGCCTAAAATAAAATCATTCTTAGCATTAAGTGCACTATAACATTTAGATGCTTTTTTCGAGATGAAATAGAAACTCAAAACTATAAAATATCATATGCACTATAAATTTTGTTTTTTACTTATACTATTAAACAAGTAACATCTAAACTCTCAGAATATTCTTATTAAAGCTTTCTTGAGGGTGTGGGTGCGGTTGAGTGTGGGTGTGGGTGTGGGTGTGGGTG